ATAAACTTATTTACACTAATACATTATCTAAAGAAACATTGTTAAGTTTAGCTGAACTCGTATCTATACTTCTAGCTCCCTCAGTTGTTGCTTAATATAACACTATTATTAGTATAATAGTTAGCACAAAGTTTTTTTTTTTGGTTTTCCATCCGGCGTACGATACAATTCGAATTCGAATCGAAAAGTTCCAAATTGAGATAAAGCGCTTCCTAACAAAGGTGACTCCGTACCTAAGGAGACTCAAACCTGAAACCTCTTGATTAAGGATGAAAGAGTACTTATCACTCTACCACAATCCTGATCGGTAATTAGCACAAAAGTTAGTGCTCCTCAACAACCTTATGTACTATTATGTGTAACCTGTCTCATTCTAATCTTACATATTTAAAGTGAAACATTTTTGTTGTTTGATGAAATGACACTTCCCCACTAAATTTAGTAAATTGATGTGCTTGGTGGTGACTGGTGAGTGGTGACTGGCTTTTAAAAAATCCACTAATTATATTATTTGCTTAATCAACAAGGGTTGACTTGAGTGTCCTTTAGGTAACATGAATAAAGAGGATAATATAAAGGAAATTAAAAGTGATTAATTTCTTTTCTTTTAAATTTAATCAAGTAAATCAAATACTCAATTTTTTTGGTCGAAAGAGGATATAAACTTTAGATAAAGGGCCCTATATATAAATCATAAAATTTCGCAAAAAAATGTTTAACTGATCAACCTTTGTAAGATATGGATCAGGTATTTTACTACGAATAAGGTTTGCAATGCTATTGCATCCATTGTTCCTTCACGATAATGGGAACAAATTTCGTGTGTATATATATATACTAGTGAACTTCTCCGCGCTTCGCGCGGTTATAAAGAATGATAAAATTTTGATAATTTTATTAAATATAATATTGATGTAAGAGAAAAACGTTTCATGAGTACTTCCAATAAAGTTATTAAATTTTTTACTATTTTGAACAAAAAAATTGCAATAAGAAATTCACATAAGATGCAAAATAAAGATAAATCATACCAATAAAAATGCAACATCATTCTTAATTCCTTACTCATTAAAAATAGAAGGAAAAATATGAAATCAATACACATATCTTTCGAGTTCTTATGGACGTCCACTCCCACAAGCTGATCACCATTTTTCATCTTATTCTTCAAATCACATTAAAATATGAATATAATAAGCACCGGAAATATAACAACCTAAAAACCTAATGTGATCTTCTATAAAATCTTGCAATGATTTTATTTATAGGGCTACTATATGAAATACCAAATAATATGATGAATATGACTATTAATTATTTTATAGGTCATAATAATAAAAAGTTGTGGAGTAATTAATGAAAATAAAGACAAATTAATTTTTACATTTAACATATTCTAAAAATGTTTTCTTTTAATTTCTTTGCAATGCATATTTAATATAATTAATAGTTAAATATTTTTTAAATTCTTTTAATATAGCACATAAATAAAAAAAAGAAATCTAAAAAAATATATAATCGTATTTTTTGACCAAAGAAAAATATCACCCTCACTTTTTTCTCTTCCTAACTGTTTTGTGGTGATATAACTATTTAGCACAAGTCAATAAGTTACTAAAGATTTAAAAGAAACATGTATATATATAAATAATTTACAATCCTTCTAAAATTAAATATCCACTTAATAAATTTTAAGTCAAAGAGGAATATGACATGTTAATTAAGTAAAAAGTTTAAAACTTATCTAATTAAGACTATCCGTCAATAAAAAAATTCAAATCTTAACACAATTTTAAATTTAAAGATCCTTATACTTGTTAAGTTTAAAATTATTAAGTACAAATTTAGTCAAGACTTCTTGTTAATTTGTTGATAAATTCATCTTAACTATTCTATTATAATGGTAACAAAATAAGCTTATCCGTGCTTAAAATTATTTGAACATATAGTTATTAGTTAACACATTTTCATTTGGAAGTAAGTTTTAAACATATAATTAACACTTTTTCATTTTTAAATAAATTTTGAATCCGCGAGTAAAACATAATATTTCGAATTCAACAATCAATATCTTTTGAACAATTTAATTAAAAATAATAATATTATTTTCCAAAAAATTAAACCAAACCTCTAATATGTATGAATAATGAAACTAATAAATCAATCAATTATACTATATTGAGATAATTTTTCATTTGACATCTCTTTATTATCCAACAATTTTTTTATTATATTTTTGGATATTTTTGGGTGTTAGATGAAAATAGAGAAAATACTCAAATGACAAGATGCTTCTGTAAGAACCTTTTCCATGTCTTCTCCTCCATACATGTCTCGACAATCACCAATATCACACCATGCCATGATAACTTACAGAAATAATTACAATTTCTCATAAAAAATAATATTAAATATTATCTAATAATGTAACAACAATAACATATTTAATGTAATTTCACAAGTAAAATATGAAGAAAAAAAATAGAGAGACAGAAAAGATATGTCCTGAAACCCTTAGCATGATAAAGCCTGCCAAATTCATTGACATTGGAAAAAAAGATAAGAGAGGAAACATATGAACAATGCATTTGTATTTAATTTTAATATAAATATCCATATTATGAATCCCTTTACAAATTTCCAAATATAGAACAACCAAACAATTTCATAAAAATGTAAATCTCAATTTGTTGGAACAATTTTTTGACAGTATGAAAGATGCCTCAATGTTTATTGTTATATACAATATAATCATCATATTTTTGTTGATTATATAATTTAATGAAATGAAAAAAAAATAAAAATTCATAATAGTATAAACATAAAAATAGTAAGGAAGTTAAAATTACCTTATGTCTACTCCAAAGTATTATTTTCTAATAGCAATATTGAAAAGCTAGAAAAGAAAATTGTGAAAAAAAATCATGATTGGATTTGAATTGGGGCTCCTTTTGCTACCGTATTTAAAAGAATATTATAATGACTTTTAATTAATCTTTAATAAATAACATTAATGCAGAATATGAAAGGATAATCAGCTTATACACAAATAGAATAAAGAGATGAATTTTAATGAAATTGAAGATGGAAATATAAGAAAATGATATAAATGACTATAATAAAAAAAAAGTTTATACTCTTATTTTATTGAAAGAACGTGAAAGAAAGAAAAGAAAGATAAGGATTTAAAAAAATAGATAAAGAAATATAGAGGGTTTAAAAAAATAGATAAAAATATATATTGTAATTAATTTTTTATTTTCCTTAAATGGTGATTCTCTTTATATACTCACAATATTTTTAATCATTATGTATTTATGTTAATAATAAAAGTTGCAAATGATTTCATTGTTTCATGCATCCCCATAAATACGTAATTATTCTTAAATGAAATATATAATTTTTAATATTATAGAGAATGCCAAAAGTTTCAGATTAGGATTTTAGAATATATTTTTTTCCGGAAATGGAATTTTTCTTCCGTTTCCAACTATACAATTAATATTTAGATTATTAAATATGATAATAGAATGTTGAATTAATCTATATCTTTCCTTAATTATAGTAAAATTGTAATTAAACGTTTATTGTAACCTTTCTCTTTCCTTAATTATAGTAAAATTGTAATTAAACGTTTATTGTAACCTTTCTCTTTCCTTAATTATAGTAAAATTGTAATTAAACGTTTATTGTAACCTTTCTCTTTCCTTAATTATAGTAAAATTGTAATTAAACGTTTATTGTAACCTTTCTCTTTCCTTAATTATAGTAAAATTGTAATTAAACGTTTATTGTAACCTTTCTCTTTCCTTAATTATAGTAAAATTGTAATTAAACGTTTATTGTAACCTTTCTCTTTCCTTAATTATAGTAAAATTGTAATTAAACGTTTATTGTAACCTTTCTCTTTCCTTAATTATAGTAAAATTGTAATTAAACGTTTATTGTAACCTTTCTCTTTCCTTAATTATAGTAAAATTGTAATTAAACCTTTATTGTCCATAAATGGTAATTTTCTTTCTATTCTTGCAATGCAATTAATGCTTAATTTATTGAATGTAATATTAAATCATATTATATTTAGTGTGATGAAAGATTAAAAAAATTGAAAAAATAGATAAATAGGAATCCTAGCTTCTAAGAGGTGCCACATCAGCGATTTCTCATTCAGATTTATATATAGATATATAGATATAGATTCTTTTTTCGAGATATTTTAAACATATCGAGAGAGCGCGTAAACAACTCACCTTCCACTTGTCCCACACATGTTAAAAAAAATCACCAATTTTATGTTCAAACCCTACCAACACTTTCTTGAGAATCTTACCAACACTTTGTTCTTCTTTTCCCTTTTCCTTCTTTGTCATTTGTTGAGTTTACCCTTTCTCTTTTTTCTCCATTTGTTGCTACAACTTTTCATGATTTAGATGCACACTATTATGCACCTTAAAAGTACTTTATTGTCCGAGAAAAGTGAAAGAATGACATTGGCCACTAAGCCAACCCCAAACAGGGATTTATTAGTCTTTTTGCTCTCTATAGCATTCCAATTTTATCGAGGATTAGGGCAAAAGCTTAGTAGGTAGTCGAGACTTATCTAGTTTCCTTATCAGTATTGTTGTTGTTACTCTTCTACAATCTTTTTCTTCGATTTTAGTATTACATGTTTCATTTGCTTTAGTGATGTATTATTTGTTGTTGCTAATATTGTTTTCTTCTTCATTGTTTTCAGCCTGACTTCTTCACTATTGTATTTTCTTTACTTGCTTGACTTTTTATATGCTGACTTAAGCCGAGGTTGTATCAAAAATAGCCTATTTACCCTTATAAGATAGGGATAAGGCTACCTACATACACACCAACCTCTTCAGACCGCACTTGTAGAATTACACTGGACATTAGAGAGAAATCGATTAAGTTCCTTCGAAGACATCCGATAAAATTGGAACGCTACAACAACAATATATCCAAGAACAATGCTTTTCATTTGACAAGTATTTTGATGTAAAATGTGTATCACATATATTGGCAAAACTCAAAAGGTAAGAGAACCTATTTTTCTCATTACAAAGAAGGAAAAAACTCAACTTATTACAGCTAAAACATCTGCAAACTTGAGTGGAAAAACAACACTAAGGTCTAAAACTAGCAGATGAAGCAAGACGAATAAGTTAACGTGTGAGTATCATCGTGGTGATCGCTGACAACCTCCTGGGAGAAGGAATCGGAACTTATCTGTGTTTTCAATGACGTGTGTTGGAAGATGAACCGCGGATGCTGATCGAGGTATTGATCCCATTTTCTTGATCAATTCTTGAAAAGAATACTCCTCAGGTAACATGTCATAAAGATCAGCTCCCTCACATATTAGCTTCTGAATCCTAGAGTACTTTAGGAAGTTTGTACGTCGAACTCTGTCTGCGTGACTGTAACCAGTCATTTTGAATACGAAATCTTGCAGATTCCGGAAGCAAAAGCTGCAATGCCATCCTGCATCAGAAAGTATAACATCTGTTTGGCGGGAATGTCTATATTTCGTCCACCTGTTGTAAATGTGAACACTGGCGCGCCAGCTACTATAGTCCACAGGGAACTCGAAAGAGTACATGTAATGTCTAAGTTCAAGATGCATCACGGGAGGCATACCATCACACCACTGAAGAAGTTTAATAGTGTGGTGGCTTGGGATTTCATCGGTATCTGACATAATGAGAAGGTCATCTTCAAAGATACCAGCAGCATGGAGTAACCTGTTCATTGCGATGCGTTGTTGTCCTTCTAGTTTAAACGGATCTTCATGTAACTCGAGGGATGCAATCCGGCCAGGAAATACACCATGTACAATCTTATCCTCAGCAAATGCAAATCGTTCCCGATGATCAGAGAAGTACAATGGCTTTGGAAGTCCAGTAAAAGTAGTGTTGGCTTCCAAGACGACAAATTTCGTAACATAGGGATAGAGCTCACGCCACCTTACTTCAAGCAAGTCTAGCTCATTGCTGAATATGATCCCATCAAATACACGACGTGGTTCAGGACGTAGAGTCCATCCATGTAGGCGACAAAGATTATCCATAGAAACATTTTCAGCATAATAATGTGGCAAATGCTCAAATGGAGGTGGAGGTTTGTCCCAAAGTGGACGGAAGAAATAGGAGATCTTATGGAAATGGAGGTAAATGCCAAAGAGCAAAATCGGTACTAGTATCAAGAGCACGATAAAAATCACTTTTCCATGAGATCGTCTGGAGATAAGGCGAGAATGTCTTGGGGCCATCCGAGACCACGGCATAAGTTTGCCTAACATCTTCTCATGGTTCAAAGTTATATAGTCTGCACATTTTCAGATGAGTTAGGAAAAACCCGAATCATTGTATATTTCGATTTGAATTAGGAATTCCGTGCCCAACTCTAAGTAGCCATGAATTTGACAATATCCAAACAATTTTATAATATGCCTTTGTTGGGTTTTAGATACTGTATGAATGGCAATAATGGAAGAGTTCAAATGACAAATTTGAAAATGGAGGGGAATGAAAAAAAAAATCCTTTTACAAGAGAGTTTGTCTCTTAATTGACAAGGAAAAACAAAACTTAACTAGCGTGTTGAAATTTTGAATATTCTCTATCATTACCAAGTAAGTTTGAAGTGTGACTTGATTGTTATTTGCGTTTGTTGAATATCAATGTGTGACCAATCAGATTAGATAAGATTGAAAATAATTATATTTGTCAAAAAGTGCAAATAGCACATATTGAAAATTTAATGTGAAAATCTAGTTTAAAATGAACTGATAGATGCATCGGTCCATAAGTATAAAATTATAGCAAGTAAAAATGGTTTCTTTTAAAAAAAAAAAAAAAAAAACTAAAATCACATAGAAAGAAATGACCAAGACCTTTAAATGCTTCAATCTAGTCAGATAGTAACATCAAATACATGAATATGATAAATTTATTTCGAGAGAAACGAGTAAATTCAAGGTTGGTATTTGAGTATTTTATAATTTTAGATAGAATTTAATTGTAGTGGAGTATTAAATTTAATTAACAGAAAGCATGTGTATCACATAGAATAGTGTATCTAATTAATGATATTCTCGCTTCATTAATTTCCTCTAAAAAGAAAAAAATTAAATTAAAACAAAAAATAAATAAGGAGTTGTTGAGTAATCATCCAATGCATTTCATCTAACGCGTTTAAAAAATAACTTAAAGTGCATGTGGATGTGGATGTGCATGTACTTGTGGAAAAATAATTAAAGGATGATTAATTAATTAACCTTAAAAACAAATTAATAATAATTGAGGAATTAGTGGATTTATTTTGGTTAGTGAATGATGATTTCCACTAGAAAAAAAGGGATAAGATGATAGATGGGATTGGTGATTTCGATTCCCCCTTAAAATAATGAAAAAGAAATGATTAACTTTTTGTCATTGCCACTTCATAGATGTGTTCGAGTAGATTAAGCAGGGAATCTCTTAAATGTTCAGTCATGAATTTGATAGCATTTGCACGATTAATTGTCTTGCACAACACTAAATTAATACAATTTGTATTTCATATGTGATTTATAAGCTATTATATTGAAATAAAATTTTATCAGAGCACATTTAAAGGATAGTCAGGCGAATTTCCTTATCGTCTAAAAACACTTTTGTCATGTGTGTATCCAAGATAAGACCCTTTTAGGAGTTTGGGGAAATGAAATCTCATGATTGAGATTTCATAGTGATAAAGATTTTTTATACTCAAAAAGATGTTTTATTATTAACCAAAAGTCTTTTATTTTGAATAATAATGAGTCTAGAGTTCGAGTCTTATATATAAAATTGTCTTTGTTAGAAAAGATTTTATCTTTGATTTGAATTTTCTTAACGTGAATTTAAGTTTAATTAAATTCTAAACCTCAATATAAATAACAAATATTGTGGGTGAGACTATTCCACCCTTAATCAGAATTCTCAAATTTAAATATGAATATATAAAAATTCAAATAAATTATGCAATGCGTGAATTTAGTCGGAGCTAATTTATCGAATGAGAAACCAAAAAAGAAATCTGATTCTCTTACCAAGTTACACTAGCAACCAGCCACATGATCTAATTCTTAGGCTACTTTTTCCCTTTTATTCCTCTTTTTCTTTAATCTGCATTTTTACTGATTATGACCAAATACATGTCATTCTTCCTAATGTTTATCAAATATAATATTTTTCTGGATTCCCACAATTAAAAACCCTTTATCACAGAACAAAATATTCGTAGAGTATTTATTATGTGACATGATATTAGGCGAATAAACTTTTCTAGAATAACTATTCAAGTATTTGTGAACTTTAGAGTATTTTCTAATTATACAATAATAAAAGAAATTCAATGATTTTCATAGTACAATATGGAAATACTATGCATTTACAGGTCGTTTAATAACTGGTTAAAGTTACACATGGATTTATATAATTGAATTTATGTATTATTTTATATAAGTATAAATTATTTAGGATTTAATTATTCAAATATTCTACCTTCTATTTTACATAAAATAATACTCTATAGATTTTTTCATAATTTATATATGCATTAATCATGCAAATTTTTAAATTGAAAATCAAATATCGTATTAATTTTATACATAAACAACTTACCTCCTAACTAGCTACTAAATATAGTACTTACTTACGCTAAATTTAATATCTACATAACTCACCGGCTGTCAAAATACCCCTAACATCAACTAAATAGTTGGATCTTTTTCAAAATTCTCTTTTGAGTTATAAAGGTGGGATTGGGACCTCATAATCATAGCTAAGTTATTTTTCTAGTTATCATTTCATTTAATTGTTGTAAGTTAGGAAAGTTCATGAAAAACGATTTTAGTCTATATCTAGAGTAGTGGTCGTAATTGAACGTGCCAAGTTGAATTTAGGTTGACTAAAAATAGGTTAAATAAAAACGAATCAAAATTCAACTTGTTCATATATCATGAGTCGTCAAAAAAGAATTACTTATTAAAATTATATCAACTCATATTTATGGATTTTCCTTCAAATTAAATGGACGGATTGAAGATGACTATACACGAGTCATGTGGAATTGGACAATTTCGAGTTGAATTATTTATCACCACAAAATTCTAGTCTAACCTTTACAAGTCTACATGTCCTTATCCATCTAAATAAAGCACGAATGGTCAATTTCTTGGATATTACACTAGGAAAATTAAGCTCCAAAAGTCACCATAAATTACAATTTTTTCAATCAAGACTTTGGAATAAGGAAAGTGACCTACGTTCATAATTTTACACGTGCAAATAAAAAGGTTTATAACATTTATCACGAATGTTCATGTCATCACGTATGTCGATGATCATTAATTAAACTTCCTTCGTTAGAAAATTATAGTGTATAGATAAACTCTATAATGAATTATATATGTACGGACAGTACGGTTGGTTGCACGTATATAACTTGGTGCATCTCATTACCAGAAAAAAAATATTTTTAGGTTAATTATATATTATAAGTTTGATTTCAAGCTAGGATATTGGCGGGTCAAGTATTTAAATAAGCGGAGTTGGAAAAAAAAAATATGACAAGGAAATTTTAAAACTTATGTATATGCAAATTGCAAAAGAAAATCATGTTTACCTGTATACATTATATAGTTTTCAACTAACCCCTCCAAAGCTCCAATTTTTTTATTTTCTTAATAACTGAAATTCACAATCTTAAAATTAAAGGTAAACGATACTTTGTTCGAAGTCCACATTGGAGCTTCGACTAAATTCGATCGAGCACTGCAGGCCCATTCGGGGGTGGCCAAGATTTTCTCCATACCCAGTGCTCGAACCCGAGACCTCTGGTTAAGGGTGAAACACTCCCACCAGTGCACCACAACCCACGTCGGTGGTGAACGATACTTAACATTTATCCATAGCACATAAGCTAAGAATAAAAGCCAGGAAAAGTTCACGTTGACTGTTTACCTACCTAGGTTCATGCATTTGAAGACAATCCATAGACTATATTTTATAAGTAAATGTTGTTACATTATCGAAAAGTAGAATGGATAATTTCTTATATTCTTATTCAGAAATTTCAAATTTGAATTATAAAAATACAAACAATCTTAATAGAAAATGTTTTTATTTCAGAGAAATTCAGATTAATTAAACTACCAAGCACGTGTGAAAAGCTAAACAAAAATGGCGATAAAATATGGTACTATTATAATGGAGGCTTGATGAATAAGATATTTGGAGAATTAATAATTGTTAGTCCATAAAAGAATATGAAAGTGATGTAAGTACGCCTTTAAAAATATTATAAAATGCTAATATTATTATTTCGATCTAGGACCGTGTAATTAATATTCGTTGTGAAACAGAAAGATATAATTTTTTTATTTTATTTTTTTGTTATGTTTTAAGACATATATTGCAATTAGGGGGAAATGCACATGTAACACATGGGGAAAAAAGAAAAAAAAAAGACGGTAACTCCAATTAGCACCATGTGTTCTCACTTTGCATCACTAATTTGGGACCTCTGAGATATTATAGTACCGTATAGACCCCACTAATTTTATGTTCCGACCAACACTTAAAATAACTATTCTAACGAGTTTGTTTAGATGGACTTATAACATATGCCTTATAAGTTAAAAACTTCAAATATATGATTTTTTGGATTATTTTAGTTTTAAAACATTTTTTGACGTATTCCTCGTCATTAAACAAGTTTTTTTTAAAAATAAATTAAGAGTAAAAATAACAAAGATTCAACAAGAAAAGAAACTCAAACAATTTTTTATATATAAAAGAATAGGTTTTTTGGCGTGCCTTTAAAAGAAGGCAAAATATGTATATAGATGGAGTTATAGCAACTACAAGATAACTATGTAAGATGTAACATCTAAAACAAGTACTAATAATTTTGTTGAGTTAGATATCATCTACATATCACATCAATCCTTCTTTCATGTGCGAGTCCAATCTACTTACTAGTTCTTTGGAAGATCAATAAAACACAAACTCTTTATTACGTGAAGGGAAAAAAATTGTCTTTATCAAATGATGGAGATCTTAGGTTTTGAGATAGCATATGACTTTTTTTCTTTTTTTTTTAACAAATTCCATCACAACCCCTTGATCAAAATCAGAAATGAATTCATGATTTGAATTATACGCATTTCATCTACATACATATATGTAATGACCCGTAAAGTCAATTTTGGAAATTTTCATAAAATTATAATTTTATCCCTCCCGATAGTTGCCTCAGGTCCCTTTTGATCGGTCGATGAAGTTGGTTTGGAAATTTGAACTATTCGATAACTGTGATTATTTGAGTAGCAAATATTTATCTAATAATTAATTATTGGTAATTAGTAATTAATGGATCAAGCCCATAATTTAATTAATACCCTTATAACTTGACCCATGTATTAATAAGATGAATTAAAGTTAGTACGATTAATAAGTTATCTCAAAAGCTAACCTGGATGTGCTGCAGAAAAACAAAGAAGTACGAAAGTTTGAGCGGATCAGGTAAATTCTACTACGATTCCTTGTAAAATTTAGATATATATAAATATGTCGTCAGGTGATATTAGTGTGAGGATGAGATTATTGGAAATTGTTTTTTTTAAAAAAGGAAACAAAGAAAAGGGACAAATTGGTTGTCAGTATAGTTGGTTGGAATTGAATTGAAAATAAGGTTGAGGGGATTATTCTAAATGGCATAATGTAATCATTGCTCTGAATTGATAAGTTTTAGGAATTTAGTGATTTTGCCTCATATGGTCTCGTCATGGATTTTCGTAAACAGTTAGATTTCCGTAGTTAGTAGTTCTTGTTTTATTATCATATTACAAATTAACTTTTTGATATATTGAGATAAGCAATTAATATTTTGTGTATTATATTATATGAATATCATTAGATTTATGATATTTGAAGGATTTGGAACTTAATCCTAGACATGAAAATTTGGAGAAAAGTTGAAAGAGTGGACATGTTAATTGGCATCAAAAGTTAAGAACTTAATCATAGATTTGTGCTCTATGATTTTTGGGTCAATGTTAGACGTATAGTGATATGGGTGTTGTTAGTTTCATAAACTTATTGGCATTATTTATTTGAATAGATTGCATTAATTTGGAAGCCTAACGAAAGGAAAAGTCTCGAGTCCCAGAGTAATTGTTCGACTGTTTGAGGCAAGTGGATTTCTAAACCCTTGTTAAGTGTATCAAATTCGTGTATTTCCTTGTGGTATGTGTTTGGGAGTAATGGGACTTGGTGTAGGGTTGACTTGTCCACCTTGATAAATTCTAATGATGAAAAGGGGTAATAAAAGATAATGTGGTTAATTGTTTGTGTGTGATGTGTGTGTTATAAAGGGAAAGTTTATTACTATAGAATGCGGATTGTAATTCGAGAATGCCAAAGCATATGGGCATTAGTTGATATATTATTGACTTGATTTATTATGTGTGATTGTATTCTTTATTGAACCCGTATACTGGTGATAGCTGAAGTGATTACATATCATATTGATATTTGATTGAGATGCATCATCCCTTTTATTGAAATCATATTGTGTGCATGCATTGACATGAGATTGAGTATAAGTTGGGCACGTGAAGATCGTCGGTGCAAAATTTATTTGATTTATGATAGTGCATTGAGATCGTCCGCACAGACACGTGGAGATCGTCCGTGTCGGTATATGGACCTCGCGAGTCCCCCATGGGTCATGAACTCTCGATGTATATTCTGAGGAGTATTATGTATATACGGTTGAGAGAGTACTTGGTATTCTGAGGCATATCATTTCATGGTGTCATATTGCATTGCATCCCATGACATCCTTCATTCTTGATGATTATGTGTTTTATTGGTGGTTGGAAAGTACTTGATATTTGATTACCTCTATTGATGAACTTGATCTTGTATCTTGTTGATATTTGTGAGTGCCTTTTT